CCAAATAACAGGTGATCGACACTTCCGCCCGTATAGCGCCTCAAACGGGGCACATTTGATGCTTGTATGATAACTGTTGTTATATGAAAACTCAATTAAAGGAAGGTAAGTATCCCAACTTCCCCCAAAGTCGATGACGCATGCTCTAAGCATGTCCTCCAATGTCTGAATGGTACGTTCGCTCTCGCCGTCAGTTTGAGGATGATATGCTGTGCTCATGTCCAATTGCGTTCCCAACGCTTTCTACAGCGTTTGCCAAAATCGTGATGTGAACCGACTATCACGATCTGATATGATGGACACAGGCACCCCGTGCCTCGCTACTATCTCGCGGATGGCTAGGAAGTGTGCTGATTTAGTCATTCTATCTACAATAACCCAAATTGAATCGTGCCCACTACTAGTCCTGGGCAACTTTGTAATGAAATCCATGGTTATATTTTCCCACTTCCACTCAGGAATCTCCGGTTGCTGCAACAAACCCGAGGGCTTTTGGTGTTCGGCCTTAACCTTCGAACAAGTCAGACACTTGTTCACATAGATGGCTATGGCTTTCTTCATTCCCGGCCACCAGTACACATCCCTAAGGTCATGGTACATCTTATCCGCTCCTGGATGGATGGAGTATCTAGTTTTGTGAGCTTCGTCCATGATTAGGGTTCTCACATTGCCCTTTAACGGAACCCAGATTCGTTCCATGAAGTATAGTCCACTGTCCTCCCTTCTCTCCATTTGTTTATCTAACCCTCGCAGCATTTCCTCCGGTGCATTTATGTCATTCAATGCTTCATTCTGAGCTTCAAGTATCTTGCCCTTGATCCCCGAATGGATTGTCATGCTCATTGTCCGTACTCTCCTGGGTTTAGCCCTCTCCTTTCTACTTAACGCATCAGCCACCACGTTCGCCTTACCGGGGTGGTAGCGAATTTCACAATCATAATCACTGAGAAGTTCCATCCATCGCCTCTGACGCATATTCAATTTCTTCTGATCAAAGATATGCTGCAGGCTTTTGTGATCAGTATAAATCACCCTCAGAAATCCGTTCATTTCTGGGATTGGCAGGTTACTACCGACGGTTCATCGCGAACTTCTCTAAGATTGCCAAACCCCTCACCTCGCTAACTCAGAAGGATAAGAAGTTTGACTGGGGTGAAGCACATGAAGAAGCATTCCAAACACTAAAGGATAAGTATCCTCTCCGTCACACTTCGCGTTTCCGCCTAGGCGGGGGGTGTGACACTTAGTGACTTATTCGTGGTTTACAACTTGACAAGCCACCTTAGTGATGGTTTATCTGTTCAACCATCATATTTTTTTCTACCAATTCTATATTTATAATAAATCATACCCCTTAAAGAAACCTAGATTGTTTCATCTTCTCCAATAGAAAATCGCAGGTCCTCCTCTAGTTTCCGCCTCAGCCACTGTTGCTCCTCTGATCCTAATCGATGGTTAGGGTTTTGTCATCATCGTTCTAATTGCTCCTTAGGGTTTGGTTATCTTCTTTCTAATTGCTCATTAGGGTTTGGTTGTCTTCTGCCTAATTGCTAACATCATCAGGTAACATGTAACAGCTAAGTTACTTTCTTGCAATCGCTACTGCTGCTGTTCAGGCATCCTTAAGTGTTTCGTTTGTTCTTTCATCTATTTCTCATGAAAAGACCGTCCAAAGTTTTCCTAGATGGAGCTTGGTATTTTTACTACAATGTGAATTCTGGAAAAGATAGCAGCATGGTTGTTAAAAGCTCTGGCTCCAAGGCTCATAAGGCTCAAGGTCTTGGACTTCTCTAAAGTCGAGGCTAGGTGTATTCACGAGGCTCACTAAGGCCCTGCGCCTTGGCTGAGGCGCCTTGTGGGCCTAGGCACGCCTCATAAAGAGTTATTAAATACCAAGTCAAACTCGATATTAAATAAGATTTCTCATCCTCTTATCTTCTAGACGTCTTAAAAAAGAGTTATTAAATAGATGACATAAGTGAAACCCTAATACTAATCACCTAGTTCTTATAACTTCAAGCCCTTTTCTCTATAAATTCCCAGACCTTAAAACTTCTCCCACATGGCTCACGCTTTAAATCCTTCTCCCTTTTGCCTCTATCGAAGTACCATTGGTTGCTGCACTGAGGCTTGTTCTTGCTACATATTTGAGTTGTGTGTGTGTGTGTGTATATATATATTATATAATTTTTTTATATAAGATGCGCCTCACATTTCTGAGGCCCGCGCCTCACGCCTGTGCCTTGTGTCTAGGCCGGGACCCTTTGCGCCTAAGTGCACCTTGAGCCTTTAACAACTCCGGATAGCTGTGAGCCATATGGTGATTGGGAGCATTTACCATTTTTGACATCCAAGGGTGATGAACTGTGAATTACAAAAGGCACCTTGGTGATTCAAGTCTGTTAAGTGGATTTTGGCTGGAATGTTGGTAAGGGCTCTTACAATGGAGGTCAATTTGAGCTTGAAGTTGGTCAGGGATGGATGATGGATCTACTTATTTCAGTTTGGGTCTCCACTCAGGCTGCAATCCCTTTTTAAGCAAAAGGGTTGAAGTTTTAGGTTATTTTGCTGTGTTGTTAATAATTTGGTGAGTTGCCTATTGGTAACTCATTTCTCATCAATTATTGTTTTTTTTTAGAACGGATCAATTATTGTTTTGATGGTATCATCTATTCAACATAGGAAACAAACAACAATTGATCATTTACCAGACAAACGGGGCCAAACCAGAATTAATGAGCAAAGAACAAACATGCCCTTGGTAGCATACATCTCCGTTTTAGAAGAAAAATAACACAAAAATGTGTCAGAAAATAAATTTTAGGGTTTGTTTTTATAAAAAGACCTAGAAATAATACATAAATTTTAGGGTTTGTTTTTATAAAAAGACCTAGAAATTATTCACGGAATGGATAGAAACCATGAACCAGCAGAAGAAAGTTTGTTTTTTTTTTCCTTTTATCACCATTAGACCTGCGTCTGAGGCTCCATTAACCTGATTCACTTTCACTCATTGTTGTAGGATAATCAGTTATATGATTTGTCTAATAGAATTTTCTCCTTAGGCTCTAGTTTATAACCATTATCTTACAATATTATCTCTTGGGAAATGTCAGAGGGGAAAGCAGTTGGTGTGTTTTTTTTGCCATACTTAAGAGTGGGAGATAATTAAATGGCTGATCGACAAATGGGTGATCAGCAACATCCACATGATACTCAAATGCATTCTCCTTCGCCTCCATCAAAGGACGATATGATTGGATATGTTATGGCGTTGGAGGCTGCTTTACTCCCATGTCTTCCTGCAAGAGAACTGCAAGCGATTGATCGATCTCCCCACCCTTCACATCAGAGTGAGTTCCTATCCTTTTTATGACGGACTACCGTAGCTAATATTATGCTAGTTCCTTATATATTTTGCATCATCATGGAACATCTTTTGGTATGTAGGGCTCTACCATACCTTCTGTTTGACATAATTTTCTACTCACTGCTACTTTTGACGTTGAAAAGGGCAAAAATGCATCAAAATGCAAAAAGATTGGTTTAGTTCCTATTTAGTGTAACAAAGAATATTTTTTTGTCAATCGATGTAAACAAAGTTCCAAAATTTCTATTTTGTACCATTTTGACCAATAACCTGCTCACCTTGTAAGATTGGTTGGCGTGGATACCCGTTTACAAAGGGTTATGGAGAAATGGATGAGAAACCTGTCATCCACGTTATCAAATGTTATAAGATCAGCATCTTACCTGTCAAAATGGGTACAAAATAGGAAATTTAGAAACTTTGTTGCAATTATTTGTTACACTAATAGGAACTAATGCAAACTTCATTGCATTTTAATGTATTTTGCCCTTTCGAAAATCCTAGAAAAGGTAGATATAGTAATAGCAACACAGCAACAGCCGAGCAGTTAAAGTTTCTTCTTTTCTGAAAATGCTCTGCAGTTGCTAATTTTTTCCATTTGAGCATGAGTTAATCTGTTAGGCCCTCCAATTCTGGAGTGGGGTTCTCTTTTATATAAATGGAGCCTGTAATAAAGAGATTTCTTGACGTTTTCTCATTCGAATCATCTGATGCTAGAACTTGCTCACAGTGTGATCAATTTGATATTCTTTCACCTCTTGAAGGTTTGTAGCTTGTGTTAGGTCTACTTTTTCTATTTTTTGCATTAAACCAAACCAAACGCGTCCAATATATCCCACAAAGAGGTAGGGTCGCCCCACCAGTGCCCCCCGAAGGGGGATGCATGTAAACCTTGTCTCCACTCCGTAGTGTAGAGACTAGAGAGGCTGTTCTCGTGATGACCCCCAATTTGCAAACAAAAATAAACTATTTTTTTGCATTTATGTCCACTAAAGAATCAATAGTGCTAACACATTCACAGTTTTCTAGACACTTTGGCAACCATAAGCTCACTTATTTTCTTAGCTTATTGAAGAAATCATGTTTGGTAAGCCATAAACTAGCTTATGAGCCAGCTTCAGAATTTTTTTTCACTTTTTTCTAATTATGCCCCTTATGTTTTACACATATGACCAAATACCCTATCCTTTTATGTAATTTTATTATTGTCATCTAGCTTATCAATTAGTTTATAAGCCAGCTTATTTGCAACCGCCAACTTTTCAGCTAGTACTGGCCAACAACCAACTTATTTTTGCCAAACATAGCCTTGATATATTGGTTTTTTCTTGTCTTAGTTGATGTGGAGAGGCATGCCAGAGATTTCATGGAGGCTGCCAAAAAACTCCAACTCTACTTTATCGGTCTGCAGCGTGAGGATCAGCCAACCAAAGAAGAAATCTTGCAAAAGGTAAACAACACTCGGATTGCGAAATCTATTTCATTTCATGTTTTTAAGCTACGAAATAAAGGAGTGAGGGGAAGAGGATGATTATAAAATTATGGTCGGAACAAACTACATTTTTCGCCCCTGCGGTTTGTCGAAAGTTGCTATTATTGTCCTTGTGCTTTCGAAAATATGGTTTTTATCCCTGCGGTTTATAATTCATTAGTGTTTTTGTTCCTGTGTTTTACAACTCATTTCTGATTTCGTTCCTGTGGTTTGCAATTCATTGTTGTTTTAGTCCCTCTTGCTTAAAGGTAAACCACTGACTAAGTTAATTTTAGGGATAAAAACAACAATGAATTGCAAACTACAGAGACAAAAACCGTAGTTACAAAAAAGCTCGAAAATCACAAAGCTTAACAATAAAACCATAGTTCACTCTTATAATCGGGATGGAATAAAATTGCAGGATATTGCGATGATGGAAGAAGAAGTGAAGACGAAAACCGATCTTATCAAGAAACAAGAGAGATTGATCCAAGGGTGGAGAAAAGAGTTAAAAGACCAATTAGAGAAACACAATGCTGAATTGGAGAGGGTTTAAATGTATATGCATAATTCTTGAAATTAATTCTATTGATTATTTCACATTAGGTTTAGAGATGGACGAGTTGGTTAACCGGTTGGTATTTAAACTCTTATGACCGGTCCCGGTTAAAAATGTACACTCCTGAACCGGTTAAACTCTGGATCGGTCTAGTGGAAAATGGGTAATTGATTGTACCTGGTCTATTGTTCTCTTAACTAGTGGTTTGTTAGAAATTGCAGATTACGTTCCTAAGGTTTGAATCAGTCTTCATCCTTATAGCTTATAATTCATTTCTATTTTTATTCTTGGGGCTGACTATTGTAAACTAGCGGGACAAAAAAAGCAACATAATGAATTATAAACTATGGGGACAAAAATTGTAATTTCAAAACCATGAGGATGAAAATAGAATTTTCAACAAACCATAGGGATGAAAAATGTAATTTGCTCATGTTTTTTTATATATATTTGATGTATGAAAATTTGTTTTTAAAAGTTTATGTTAAATGTTTTATAATATATAGTATAGATTAATATTATGTAATAAATCTTAACTATTTCTTTAATAGAATTATTATCATATAAAACACGAATAATCCATGTGGTTTGTTCAAACTCTACTAATTGTTATTACATTTTTTTTTATTAACCTGGATATCCAACTTGCTATACGAGCCGACTAATCTCAGGACGACCACATGCTTTGCAGATAGCCCGGAGTCACCGCACTTGAACCTCCGTGCTCACAAGGGGATTTTTATTTCTCTTTGAATTTAAACATGAGACCTCTAGGTACTTTGGAACCAAGTTCAAACCAATCATGCACCACCCTTGTTATTACAATTTTGAAATTATGTTATACATTCTATTGTTTCGATTTGCTAACATTATTTGTTCATGAGGGTGTTGGTTCATTTGTTAAATATGGCCTTTCGTGGCTTGAGAAGAATCGATTGATAAGTTTATATGTATTCGAGATATCTATTTGTTTGTATAACAATATCTTGTTTTGACTGTATTGCGCTATGCATCATCTGATATACCCCAATAGTTCATTGGATCAGTATTTTCTTTGAGTAAAGCCAAAACGTATAGTAACTAGCCTGACACGAATAAAAACCACTGTACGTACTAAAGAAATAAGAACAGAACAGTTAATTCATCAACTGATGTATTTCCGAAAAATCAAAAAGTAAATGATAGGGTTTTGTGAAATATTATAAGATGTTAATAGGTAAAAGATTATTGAACTCTTATGCTTTTCCCCTATTATTTAAACTTGTGTCCGACCCTATATATTCCTGCATCTAGGTTTTTGTCAGAGATTATTGAACTCTTATGCTTTTAACTTGATGTCATTAAACCACAAGGGTGGTGCCTGATTGGTTTGAGCTTGACTCCAAAGGTCAAAAGTACCAGGAGGTCTCAGGTTCAAATCCAAGTAAGAATAAAAATCTCGTTGTGGCCATGAAGGTTTAAATGCGGTGACTCCATGCTATCTGCAAAGCAAGTGGTCGCCCTGGGATTAGTCGGCTCGCATAGCGGGTTGGATATCCAGGTTAATAAAAAAAATTTGATGTCATTAATCAGCTCAAGTTTTTACTGATAATCAATTACACAAATCACCTAAAAGAATTTAGCTTTTGAATTCTTCCCTAGACCTGTCTATATCGTTAAGTAGAATAACATATTCGGAAATCAGAGGATTTGGTGAAGGTCTCATTCTATAACTGAAGGTATGTATTGGAATCAAGAAATTTAGTCATTTATGCAATATCCTTCGGTTTTGAGTTCAAGATTGAAATATTCAGATTTATTTTGGTATGTATGTGTGTATATAAGTCGGTATATGATTGAATGAACGAGGTGAGTTTAAGTAGATTTTAAATGGGAACACATCAAACTAACGTATTTTGACATGATCTGTTTGTGTGGAAAATGCATGATTTGAACGGTGATGCAAAATGTGGTTTTAAATGCGTTTTATGAAAATTAGAATTTGAATGTGAAGGGAGTATGCTAGTTGATTGTAAAGAACTTTGTGAAATATACTTCGATGTTTTGAAAATTAATGTTTACTTAGGGGTCGTTTACGTAAATGCTTACCCGGTAAGCGCTTATCTTTGGGAGTCAACACTGCAATTTATTTTACTGGGTAAGATTGTAGTACATCAAAATGGTATCGTATGCAACAATTTACCTTGTAAACGCTTACCCGGGTAAGAGTCGTCACCCTCACTTACCGAGTAAAACTCTTCATCTTCATCATCACTCTTACCGGGTAAGATTTTTTACCCTTGTCATGTTCATCCGATAAGGAAATCCACCCAGTAAGCACTTACCAGTTAAGCGTCTAGTAAACGGCCCCTTAAGCATGTTCAATTTGTTGTAATGGACATATGTGATATGTTGGGTTGATGACGTATTTTGATTAAAAAAAAAAAAAGAGAACGTGGGATATTCATTATTAGATGTTTAAAGTTGGAGGTTGATAAAATATATGAGATAAGTTGGATTATGTGGATACATATTGATAAAAGACATAAGACATGGGACATTCGCTGAAATATGTCTGAAGTTGGGGGCTGGGAGCCCGGTTAGGTGGTTATTAGGCATGGGTCGCGGTAAGGTTGTAAATGAACACGAACGGTAAACAAACGAAATTCTTTGCGTTCGTGTTCGTTTGTTTAGAAATCATGTGTGTTCGTGTTCGTTTTCGTTTATGTTCGTTCGCTAATATGCTAAACGAATGTAAACGAATGAACATAAACGAACGGGCTAAACGGATATAAACGAACATGTCTAAACGAACATTCCTAAACGAACATGCCTAAATGAACAGACATAGAATGTTTCATCTAAAGGCTAGGGTTCTGGGGGGGAAAAGTGAAAAAGTAAAAATTTCGAATAAGACAAAATGATGATAAAATCTAAATTTAAATAAATTCTAAAAAGTTAAAACTTAAATAAATATCATTTGAATTCAAACTAAATAAATAAAAGATTATACATTAAATTTAATATATAAACAAACGAATATAAACGAACATAAACGAACGTAAATGAACAAACGAGACTTTTGTTCATATTCGTTCGTTTAACTAAACGAACAAAAAAAATTTGTTCATGTTCGTTCATTTATTAAATGAACGAACTTCTCGCCAAACGATTCACGAATGGTTTGCTTAACGTTCGGTTCGTTTACAGCCATAAGGCCCCGGAAGCATATAAATACATAGACCTAGGAGGCCATATTTATATATGTACACACATACCTGGTAGGTCAAACTTTTATATATATATATATATATATATATATATATATATATATATTAGCCCAGTTATGTGGCATTTTATATATTTAAGCTTTTGAGATTTATTATGCACAGATGTAAGCATGTTATAAAATGGCATATTATGAATTTACGAATGAGTCATATGCCGAAATTTTGGTATAAATGTTACCCAAAAAGTAGGGTGTTATAAGCGTATTGTAAGATCTCATATTGGTTGGGGAGGGGCTTGATACCTCATCCATCTGACGTGTTTTAAAATCGCGAGTCTAGGTGTGTGGACAAAACAAACAATATTTGATACAGTTAGCCTGAGATGTTACACCAAGAATCTTATCCGGTAAGAAATATAACAAGGATCGCGAATCTTACCATGTAAGTGAATGATAAGACTATTATCTGGTAAGCGCTTACCGAGTAAAAGACGTTTACCAACAATACATCTTACTGACCAAAAATGCATGGCGGCGCCCCTTCCCTCCCAAAGCAGTCTAACGAGGGTCGAGCTTCAACCTCTTTCCCAAGGTCAAACTACTCCATAAGATCAACAATCTATCTCGTTGCTCCTCTCTTTCAAAAGGATTCACGACTTGTCAAGAGGTTCTTCTCTTTGCATCAAAGTTAATATCATGCTCCACCGTTTGTGCGGGCCACCATCAATTCTTTTTTAGCTTGTTAAAGACATATTCCTTTGTCTCTATTATCAGTAAGGTGAGAATAATGACTTTCATTGATAAGCGTTTATCGGATAAACGTTTGACAAAAATAACCCCAAAAATATAATAAATAAACTTTTCGAAACGCTAAGTTTTAACTCCAAGAAGTCAATTGTTCAATATACGAATTTCAAATTATTTTAGAAAAAAACTAAAAAGAATAAGAAATAAATTAGGCAATAAAAAATTTATAAAAGGAATTCAAATGGAATATTGTCAGATTTGACTACCTGTTTGGTTGACAGAGATTGGAATGAAATCTTTTACAAAATTGAAACATGTCTGTTTGATTCACAGAATGTAGCATTGGGATTAGAATGAAATATTGGTAAATGACCACAATGCCCTTTTTATTTTTATTTTAAAACTAAAAATACTTTAATATATAAAACTAAAAATACTTTAATAAAATAATTATTTAATATATAAAACAATATAAAATACACAACCTAAAATAACCATAAGCCAAATGACATTACTGAATCAACGGTGGTCGGCGGTGGTTCAGATTGGTGGTCCTCCACGGTAGTTTAGATATGTGGTGGTCTGCAGTGGTTCAGATGGCAGTGATCGACAGTGGTTCAAATCGATGGTGGTTCGCAGTGGTTCAGATGGAGGTGGTCAGCGGCGGTTCAGATCGGTAGTGGCGGCGGCGGTTCAAATCAATGGCTGTTCAAAGGTGGTCACCACCGGTGATTCATATCGGTGGTCACCTCCGGTGATTCATATCGGTGGTAGTCGACAATGGTTCAGACCGTTGGTGGTCCGTGGTGATTCAGGTGGCGGTGGTTAGATGTGGTTCAGATCGGCGGTAGTTCAGATCCGCGATGGATCAGATCGGTGATAGTCGGCGGTGGTTCAGATTGGCGGTGACCGGCGGTGGTTCAGATCGATGGTGGTCTGTGGAGATTCAGATGACGATGGTCAACAGTTGTTCAGATTGGTGGTGATCCATGGTGGTTCAGATGATGGTGATCGGCGATGGTTCAGATCGGCAGTGGTTCAAATCAATGGTGGTCGACGGTGGTTCCGATCAATGGTGGTCGACGGTGGTTCAGATTGGTGGTGGTCGAAGTTGGTTGACGATGGTCATATTGGGTTTTATGAGATTAAAGTATATTAGGTTAAAAACATATTTGATATTATGAATATAGAAAATTTCATTATATTAAAATATCATATAGTTGTTAAATAACGTAGAACTTATAGAATTTTAAAGATTAATGGGGTGTTTGGGATTGCTTATTTAAAACATTTTAAGTTTTTTTGTAAAAGTGTTTATTAGCTTATGTGCTATTAAACCGGAGTTAAATAAAATAGAGTTAAAATTGTAAACTGGTAATAAGCAGTTTTTTATAAGTCAGGAATGATTAACTTATCAAAAACAGCTTATTACCGGTTTGACATCGGTATAAACAATTTTTTTTTCTTATCCATACATCAGAAAACAGCTTATCACCGGTATCAAACTAAAATAAGTTAAAAAATAAGCAATCCAAACGCCCCTAAAATGAAATTTGATGATTCCAGATTACTCATAATTTAGGCTAAAGAAAATCTTTTCTAACGGTTGATTTGTATAATAACCAAAAGTGGTTGTATTGTCGCCTTGGACTGCACTCTTCTCCGAATCATGGGCAAGCGCCGGCGCCGGAGCCGGAGCCGTAGCCGGACCTCCTCCTCCACATCCTCCTCTTCTTCGGCGACCTCCACAAGCTCTTCCTCTTCCTCTTTCTTTTCTGGTGTTCTGCAAAACTCGGATCCTCAGCTCCTCTTCGGCGTCATGCTTGCCGCTCTTTCTAATCGTGAACCAGGAAAACCCACATTACAAGGAAACCTAGTTATCCAAAAAGCTCTAGACCATCTTCTTTCCCTCCTCTCCAATCCCCCCAATTTGATCCTGCATTCTCAACGAACGTTGCACATTTCTTTAATCTCCTTGCTCCCTGTTCTCCTCAGTTCCAAGTAATATTATCCCCTACATACGAGCATTTCTCTTAACAATACTTTATAGTAGCAGATTATATGTATTCTTTGTTTTTTAATTATATTTAGGTTGCCATTATTTAATAATGCACACCAACTGTTTGATGAAATGCTCACCTCAAAAGTTGCGTTTGCTGGTGCTTGGGTTTATTTGTTTCTTACAGATGCTCTGAGGTTGCTTGTAGCGGTTTAGAGGTAGTGGGTGCCGCGTCCTTGTTCTCAATTGAAATGAATGAACAAATTGCTTTTGATGAAGAAATAGTGAAGGGGTTGATTACTGGGGTGGCAAGTTCTAGGAAGAGCGTATCCGTGGCAGCTTGCAATGCTCTTCTTGACTTGTTGACTACATCCGTTGGGCGGTCTAGATTGCTGGAATTCTCTGCCATTGACAATCTTATGTGAGCATCAGCTACTTTTTCTTTGTAATCTGCTAAGTAGATTTCATTTGTCTCTTTGTTTGCAGAGGAATAAATTCTATTGGCTGTGTTTACTCCGGTGATAACTGGGGTTTCTATTCATTCAATCGTGAAGGGTCTCTACTCTCTACATCTGCGTACCAGCTTATGCAAGAACTAAGACTTAAGAAATATAAATGTTCCTAGTCATTTATATCCTAACAGAACCTTGCCTATAATTGCACATTTCAATAAATATCCATCAACTCTAGAAATATGCTTGGTTTATAGATTATATGACAAATTACACAACCAGCAAACATGATATGCGACTTGTTTATTGATGGTTAGAATTCTCTCTTGACATTAGATCTTATCTGCATTTGCCCTGCCATTCGGCTTATTATATCTATAAATTCAACATACACTATTATTTACAAGCAAATAGTTGTTATTTTGGAACAAATTAAAGAATCCGTGCATTGTTCTTGGCTCTTTTTTTTAGAAAGGAAACTACAGTTGCTCTGATCCTTACTAACCCACATGTTTGACTTTGGGAGACTGGTTGTGATTCTAGTTTCAACTTGCAATGAGAAATCAGCTGAAGACAGGTGCTTATACATAGGAGTAAATGATAGTAAATATCCCAGGAGCAACAAGGGGATGGATAAAAGTTGCATCCTAATGAAAGTTTGTACCATCATACCTCTTCAATGGTGGTGTGTTTTATATGCAATCATGACCTAGTTCCTGCTTTTTTAAAAGATTGATGGACTTGCATAATAAGACTTCAACACTAATGCCCAAGAGGTGGGATAGCACACTACAGGCAGGAAGAGTAGTTGTCAATGACCCATAATATGTTGACTAGCCACCCTAGCTAGCATTTATATAAGATAGGGTGTTCATCAAGCTATCTTCAAGTTAAAGTGTAGCCAAGTGATTCTCTAAAGAGACAGTCGCTTGCATCTCCTTCTGGGCAGTTAATCGTGCGGCTCTAGCTGTGATAATGTGGTTTACAGTTGAGTTTCGGTGTTCCGTTAATAGCGGCGCTATTTACCGCATTTCCACCAGCTTTTTCTAAACGAAATTGCGTTGTAAAATCCGAAATTTACTGTTGGGCTTTTTCTGATTTTAGGATTAGGGTACTTTCCAATTAGCAAAGCGTCGCAGTTCCTTCATCGTGCTCGTCACGACTCATCCATTAAGCCAAAATCAAAAGGACAAGCCACCAAAGAAGGTGGAACTCTAAGGGAGGCCGACAAGAAAAGAATACACCAAAAAATCGATGGAAGCGGCAATAATGATTAATGATGGAAGGGGAAAGCGATTCATGGAGGGTGACAATGGCGTCCGGTGTTGGGATGTGTTCTAAAATGTCCAAATAGACCTTTCTTCTTCCCTCTTTTGGTATAAGTGTGACCTTTCTTGACTTTTTAATTTGTTTGTTAATAAAGAGAGTAAAATGAACTCTTCAAATATTAATTACATATATTAAAATACTTTGAGACTATACATGATATTAAATTTTACTACTAGATATGTATCACACATATCAAATGTTGCATAGATATAAATATTTTTATTTTTTACACGAACCATTACTTTTTTATGCTATATCACATCTTTACACCGTGATAACCACGATATCAAATCATGGTCCTGACCGCGCGGTTCTAGTTTAGGACCACGATAACTGCTTAGATCTCCTTAAAGAAGCCATATCTCACTTGCGAGAGCTACAAAGCCATATCAATGTTTTTCTTCCAGCGCCTTATAGTAGCTGAAATGTAGAAAATTTCTTCAGATCATCAGAATTAAACATCAGTTTTAGACCTGCCAAGGAATAGGTTAACTGGCCCTTGACTGCCTGCTCCAGTAATTTATTAGTCACTGAATATGTACTTACTTTATTGCGCCAGAGTGCTGATTGTACTTGAAATTTTGTTCATTGCAGTTTTTGTCTTCATAAAAAGTGAAGTTACCACACTAAGCATCCCGACAACGAATGGAACAGCCTAAGCCAAGTCTTGATGTTTGGGACCCTTAAAAGACAGATACTTTCCTTTTATTCTTCAAGTGCAAATGCCAATTGCCCAATAGAATATGTATAAGATGATTGCGTGGTTGGTTTACACCACATCTAAGTCAATCATAAAATTTAATAAAAAGCCAAGCTATCATAAGGGACATGATTGGTTTGGATTTTTTTTGATAGAAACTTAGCTTTAGGGTACACAGATGGAGGAGAGGATTCTATGTAAGTGACTACCATCCATTTGGAAGAAAGCTGGTTGGAATTGGATTAAGTTGATCTAGTCCATTTAGAGGCATGAAATAGTCCATGGATAAGTCATTATGGATAACTCAATTTAATGTAGAAATCGCCTGGATTAAAACCTATATATGAGTGTTCATTTTGGAGACCTGATTGTCATGTGTATAATAACAGGCCTTTACATGCATAATTCAGTCAGTTATTTTATTGATATTCTTCCTCGAGGTTGTTGATGTTCAAAAGCATGCATATGCATTTCACTGTTCACTCCAAATTACTGCATGTCAGGCTTATTATTGATTATGTGAATTTTAGTTATATATTCTGACTTAACATCCTTTAGTATTTGTTTCCTTCAGGTCCCTAAATCTTCAATACCATCGATTTCCCTGATTATGGAGGAGGTGGGTACATTAACTTGCTTCAGAATTGGATTCATGGAAGATGAATATCCTATATTGCTTCTTCATATTGCAATTACTCTCCTCAATGAGTGCACTTTAGAGCAGCTGAGGAAGGTCCCAAGAGAACTCTCAAAAAGTTTGTTAACGTATTTGGAAAAGTTGTGGACAGAAGTACGCAAACATATTCTAGTAGATGCAGTTGAGGAATCAGAGAGATTTTCCTATTTAAGCAATATTAGAACTAATAATATAGCAGAAAGCTTATTCAGACTCTCAATGGAAGGAATATTCGCCATGCCATCCAAGTTCCAAGAGGTTAAGAGGAGCATCTTTCACTTGGGTCAGATTAGTTTTGAATCTTTTGTGGTGAACCACTGGGAGGAATCACCATTGCTTATAACAAGGCTGTCAAATGCCTTATTGCATGATAATGTTTTTAGCTCTTTCTTACAATATATTAGGTCCAAGGAAACTGTTCCTTCATTTCTTGCTTGTTTACTTCAGAACCATGCTTCTGCTCTACCAATTAGTTCAGATGAGCTAGATATAATTAGCTTTCTGAAGGAAGCAAGAGAACATATAGGCTGTCCTATAGTCTACCAACAGGATATTCGTGTCCTTAAAACTCTGGATTCTAAGGGAGAGATGCATTTTTTCCACGGGTCTTCCGATTCTCATGGCTCCCAGGTTTCTCATTTTCTATCTGCACATGATATTTTGAGATGTGAAGAAGCATATAATGATGGTTACACGTTTGCTCTGCGTGGCATGGAGTTCCATTTTCAAGATATTGCTACTATTTCAGAAGGGCTGGCCATTCTTTTTGGTCAACCATCAACAGCAGTGAATATGTACTTAACACCACCAAATTCCCAGGGCTTAGCTCGTCATCGTGATGACCACTGTGTTCTTGTGTGCCAAATCAGAGGAGTTAAACACTGGAAGATATTTCCCAATCCATGCCCACGGTTACCTCGCTTATATGAACCTGTCGATGACTTGCGTGATCTAGAGAGCGAAAATGAGTTAATAGATGGATGCAAAGAATTTCTTTTGAGAGAAGGTGACATCTTATACATTCCTCGAGGTTTCCCTCATGAAGCATGTACGATAATTGATGACGCCAAACCAAATGGAAATGCAGAATCCTCCTTGCATCTTACTCTTGCTATTGAGATTGAGCCACCCTTTGAGTAAGTGCTTACTCGTTGCTTACTTCCATTATGCATGAATCGCAAAGGTGGACTCTACATAAAATTCATTTATAAAAAATTAGAATGTTATAGTATTTGAAGGGCTTTGGCTATGCAAGATAAGCTCTCTATTGATCAGACCACGTATGGGAACTATTTCCTGATATTTTAATTTTTCTAGGACAGGTCACTTTTTAAGTAAGTGACATATGCAAAAATTTGCTAAAAAAATACCATGTGGACCTTGGTTATTTATGACTTAAGGCTCTGTGACAAAAGCCTATATGAGTAATTAGCAACAAATGAGGGAGTTTGACATGAAGCATAGGGTCATCTATTTAGTTATTTAGTATCATAATAACATTGCATTCTTATGTTCATGGAGTACAATTACTTGCTTTGACAAAATAATATCTATTATTATGCTTACCAACACTTCTTAAAGGTAAGTTCATTTCCCATAAATGTCACATATTCTCACTAGAGACACGCTTGTGAAGTAAAATATATAATTATGATTTTTGTCACTCTTAATTTGATTTTCCTCTGTATGATAAACTGATAGCTCATAAATACGAAATTTAAATAAAAAGATGTGTCAAGTAGATGCCAGACCAAAAAGGAACAAAACCAAGAAACAAAAAAAAAATGACATTAAGAGCATAACTTTCATAATATTGCTTTTTCTGGATGGGATTCATATTGATCGGTCAACAGGCCAGTTGTCTTGACTGAGTTAGGGGCTGTTTGGTTGGTTTTCCATTATGTCTTGTATGGATAAAGCTGTCTGTGTGGATTAATCTGTGTGTATAGATTGGGAAGATTTTTGTTTGGGAGAGTTTTTTCATAGATGGAATGAGCATGTTTTTTTAATTGGGAAGGGCATGTTTGAAAAAAAACTTGGCTTTCTGCAAAAGCTCCACCGTAGAAGCTTACTGAATAAGTCACTTTCTTTACCATTAAGCCACTACCAAACAGTCATGTACAGCTGACCGAATAAGCCGAGTCCCTTTAAGCTCATTAAGCTGCACAAATAGGCCCTTAGTTGATTGTGGTCATGTGCTTGGAGTATGTATTTATTTAGATGAGATAGTATTGTAATATGATATCAACACTCCCATACATACATCTGTTGTTTTAATATGGTCAAATTGATATCTCTTGAGAACCGACATGAAAAATTGTTCTTCTGTTATGTGTCCCACCTAAATAATGTTGATTGTTATGTTGTCTGTAGTAGGCACATAATTTGTTACAATTTATGAATACTATTGACTATTATTTCAAAATCTCTTTCTTCCCTTCTTTTTGTATTAATATACTCCACAATTTCTTACACTTTGTATGCTTGTTTTTGGTCTGTGATTTGTTGCAAGTGTCTGCATTCTCATGGCAATTTCACAAGTTAGGTTAAAACAATGCATTACATTCTGATGTTATATTAATTACATATCCACTTCCTTTTGTTGTTATCATATGTCGATTCTTATTTTTTGTATGTATGTTAGAATATTCTATTGAATAATGTCCTTCAAAACAACAAACCTAGAGATGCATGTGGACTGGTCAATGTTTGTCACAATAATCCATAGTATGAACATGTGCTGTGGACCAGGCACACACACACATATCAATCTTATCTTGGGAAATGGCATTTAGCATGCCTTAATCTTTTCTTACTCCTCCAGAAATATATCCTATAGTTACATTTGCCGTATATAAATATTATATACTTAAAAAATATATATATACACCCTATAGTTTGGGCTTCTAAAGCTTTAAAGTCCTGTTCATGGGACTTAATTTATGATTTCCTTGTATTAGAATAACCATCTTAATCATTGACAAAAATAGAATACTCTTGTTTCCAACAATAGTGGAGATCAAATTGGAGACATGGATATTCATATTTGCTTATTAATATAGCCCTGACATTGATGATTATATTTAAATGTAGCATGTTGTCTATGTTTGTTAACTTTGGAATTAGTGTGAAAAATCTGAAGTACCATCTTATCTGAAAGATGCTATAAAACATTATTGCTATATCTATCTCATCTAGATACATGCAGGTGGGAAGGCTTTGTTCATGTGGCACTTCATCATTGGGGTCGGAATTACAATCTCGCCAATCGCATATCTTGTGAATCATCTCGGGATATTGATGATGTGGCTGTGCACTTGATGCATATTGCAATCAAACTGATTGGTGATGTTGACCCCATGTTTCGAAAGGCTTGTTTGATTGGTGCAATTTCATTTCCATCTGTTACTGAAGGATGGCTACGGACACACCAACAATCAACTTTCAACCACTTGCTCAGTAGAATTAATGCCAACAATAGTTTCAATGATGTTGTATCTAACGTAGAAGCAGCTATCAGAAAACATGAAGATCTCTTTGAAAAATTGAGATGGCTTCGTCATCTTGACCAGAAAATATCCTCAATGGGGATGGAAGACATCTTTCATGTACTAGTTCACGAAAAGGACAAAGTTGAAGCTTCCTTCATGGAGGTTAAATCTGAGTTCTGTAATGGAGTAGTATTGGACGACGTAATACCTCATTATAGCATGATACTCGAAAAATATAGAAGAACACGAAAACAATACATTAACGGAATGTTAGCTTTAAATTGCATTTGACAGGTTTTATGATTGTAAAATTATTTTTCATCTAAAGCAAACTTCTCTTTTTGAGTTCTTTTAGGAGTAATCAATATATGTATATATATATATATATATATATATTATCTGTATTGCTAACATTTCTCTTGTTAAGCCTAGTTTTATGCAGAGAAAGCAAACCCGAAGGAAAATCAAAGGAAGAAAGCCAGGAAGGGGAAGGTATGTCAAATCCATATTGTGAACTCATCAATCGGTACAATAGTATAATTGATTCTAGATTTTTTGAAAGATGCACAAACAATACTCTATGGCTCAACTTTTATGGATGCTTAGGTGTCGGACTCGGGTGAGTTGTCACTCCATGGTAATCAATATTGTAAACAATCTCTGCAGCTTCATTACTGTTCGCATCATATGCTTTTGCCATTGAATTTGATTGCATTTTAGATCTCCTTGCATTTCCATCTACCTGCAGTATGCATTTACAGTTTAGACTTCTACTATGCACATGTGAATAAGTTACATTTACATCCCAGCTCTATGTGCCACCACACTATACAATTAACAAAATTCTTGTATGAGAGTTTTGTTTTAATTTTCATTTTGCCATTTTGCCAGCTAGGGGTCCATGGAAACGACTTTTTTACCCCTTAGGGTAGAGGCAAGATTTGCATACATCCTACCCCACAGACCCTGCATCTGCACGTGGGATTTACCGGGTTAGATTGGTTTGGTTTGGTCTGGCCTTGTGTCGGGATTAATATGCATCCTTTTTCTTTGGTAGTAATTTGATAAAACATACGTGTGTAAATGAAAATACGAAGATTCAAATCATAATGAGATTGTTTTTGTACCTTGGTGATATCGGGGTTTGAGTCTTGTGGAGTCCTGAGCCCTCTCCTTGCTTGAAGCGAAATGAGTGTATGATGAGTAGAAGAATTGGTGATTTGAGTGAACATATAGAGGCCTAGAGTTGCAAAGATGAGGAACAATGGAATGATGTTTGAAAGTCTCATTTTGAAGGTGTAAGTTGAAAATTATGAGACAGTTGGGGTTGGGTTGGGGGGGTTTGTGGGTGTGTCTGAGATTAATCATACCTGCTGCATATATATATATATATATATATATATATATATTTGAATTGAAGGGTGGGGGTGGGGTTTTTGAGTAAATTATTGACTGAGACTGTTGTGGAGTCATGCCCCAGCCCATGCTCATGAGGTACAAAATGCCAAATGTTATCAACTTTCTACTATTTTTCTCTAAAGTTTGGGCCAATTGAGTTTGTTCAAATCATAGGACCATGTTTTTAGCATATTGAGTTTGTTCAAGTGTTTGGACCTTACTTGTGTGTATAGAACTATTGTTTTTACTTCAGTGTATATTTCTTGTTGAATATACTCATTGGTAGAATACAAATACAAGTGAATATATATTTGATGAAATTTATATGGTGTATATTTGTCGATGAATATACACTATAAAACTAGTTCCATGATTCACAAATTATTTGCGCTTCTCAAATGAACCCTCCTCTACAGTGTATATATATATATCGAGAGAGAAAGAGGGTCGTACGAGAATAGTAACCAAATAAGAGAACATGAAAAATGGCTGAATCATGTCATTTTATACTAAAATCACGTGTAAAATCACATGTGATTTACACGACTTTGGCTGCCACCGCTCACTCTTGTGTTGACCGTGTTACATAATCGCATGTAAAAATCACATGTGATTTGATCATTTTATTGTTATTTTATTTTGACCATGTTATCGTTTGATCCTCCCTTAAACAAGAACATAGTCAAATTTAAAAAATATGACAACGGCCAAATCACATGTGATTTTGCAGTGAAATCACATGTGATTTACACGGTTAACACAACAGGTGTATGGGCGTCTTGACCTGCGACCTCAGGCCATGGCCAAAGTAGTGTGAATCACATGTGATTTTGTCTTTATCTTATTTGGTTATTGTTCTCATTTGAACCTGACTACATATATATACATACACACACACACACATATATATATATATACACACACACACATACATATATGGAGTTGGATTCCAGTGAGAAAGGAAGTTATAGTGAGAAGTGTAAAGAGATATCTCTGCCCTTGGACCAATCATAATTGAATGTTAACGCTAATGAGGTGCACTAAAATGCACCACATCCGCTATTCATGGGTGAGCATGAGATTAAAAGCGATCGACATCGCTCCTGAATTTGTTCATGATGAATGAACTATTGTTCACAAGCTGTTCATATTGTGTTCATAAATGTTATGTAGTCCAAGTTTTTATATATATCAATATTTTTTGTTCGTATATGACACAATGGTTCATATATATATATATATATATATATATATATATATAGTTGTATTCATATGGTTCTTACATTAACGAAAATAAATTAACAAAAATCATGAGATTTTTTGATTTTGTAACTTCCCAGTTAATTATATGAGAGTTACATAAAAAAATTTACTGAAATACCTTTTTCTACTTTGTTCACTTATCTTTATGAAATTTAAATTTAAAAAAAATAAGTTTTTATCATGATTAATCACAACCGTTTATTGAAAGATTCAATGGCCAAGATTGGTAAACAAAGTGAAAACAAAAATTTTGGTTAACATTTGAACCTGTCCCCATATATATATATATATATATATATATATATATATATATATATATATATAAGGGTTCAAACGAGAACCCTGTGATTTGCGAAAACGCGAGAACAACCTATTAACCTCATATTGTGATAACAATAAAATTTAAAAGATTTTTAAATTCAAAATGAAATTAAAACAATTCAAAAAAAATTGAGAGGCAAAAAAGTAATATTGGAATTCAAAGTGATAAAATTTTAAAAACACGATCACATTAAACCCAATAATCTGGATGACATAATGGGCTATTATGGTTGTCGCTTATTTCAACACGATTTGGTGTGATTTGGGTGTGATAATCATGTGATTATCACACAATTATCACATTATCGCTTATATCAACACGATTTGGTGTGATTTGGGTGTGATAATCATGTGATTATCACACAATTATCACAAGGATTTCACTCGACTAGGGTTAACTTAGGAAATCGACTACCGATTTGGTGTGATATGGGTGTGATAATCATGTGATATCACTATCATAACAACGCACTCGATTTGATCATGGTTTCGATTGGTTAGGGTCAGACAATCACACATTTATCACCACGATTACTCATGGTTTCGATAGGTTAGGATTAGACAATAACACATTTATTACAACGATTACGGACGAAATCTACTAAACGATTTGGTGTGATATGGGCGTGATAATCATGTGATATCACTATTATAACATCACTTGCGCACTCAATTTGATCGTGGTTTTGATTGGTTAAGGTGGTTAGACAATTACACATTTATCACAACGATTACCCATGGTTTCGATAGGTTATGGTTACACTCGATTGATCATAGTTTCGATAGGTTATGGTTACACAATCACACAATTATCACAAGGGAAGAGAAAAGAGTACAAACGAACGTGATCAATCCAGGAAAAAGGGGATAATTATAATTAATTAAAATAACATAAAAATTATAATAATTACTTAATTACATTACTGTCCTTATTAATTTATTTATATTTAATATAAGTTCATTTATTAATTAAAAAAAGTTTGAGGTTATTAGGTTGTCCTCGCGTTCTCGTAAATCACAGGGGTTCTCGTTTGAACCTCCACCATATATATATATATATATATAGAGAGAGAGAGAGAGAGAGGTAGGTTGTACAACCAATACAACTCAATCTCAACCGTCCATTTAACTTGATAAATATGTGATTTCATAGAAATTTTGACTATTTCATAATATAAAGTATTGATCATAATTAATGAACTCTATTCATCTTTCATAAATATTCAAATCATAATAAATGAACTCTCATCATTTTCATAAACATCTCAATTTATTAAGTTGCATTAATTGTACAAATAAGATGAATTGCATTTAAAACGAACTCTCTCTCTTTATATATGGAAATGAAATGTATTTTCGTTTTTATTGTTATATGTGTGGAGTCATGTCATGTGTTTGTTGTTACATTTAATCTTTGTTGTGTGGTGGAGGCAAGCAAACGATGTATCATGTGTGTGTCTCATTGCATTGTGACATCCCAATGTTTGTTTTTAATGTGGTGGTTGTTTTTTGTTACAAACTTTAAAGAATCAGGAATAACCGTTTTTGGTCCATGTCGTCACACAGAGGGCATGGGGCATAAAAAGGGAGATTTTACTGTGAATTTTTGAACGTAAATTAGAAAAATATATCATATTAGCAATTTACAGAATTGACTATTACACATGAAAGTTGCAATAATCAGTTTTTGACATTCGAACATGCATTTTAATGTTTTGTTGTTGTATCGACTCCTCTTATCATCTTATGGTACTAGCTTTTAACGTTAGTGTTTTCCATTTGATCCGGTCTAATGAAGTCATTAGTACTATAATATCAATTATATCCAAAAGGTGATAACTTCGTCATTTTTTACTTTCAATAAGTTTAATTGATTTATTTATATAATATCAATAGAGATGGATAAATCGAGTAATCTCTCAGATCTATAACTGGCTATGACGGACCGGGTTAAAGCACACCCTGTGTCCGTAACTGGTTGGGAGGGCCTGGTGTGTGTACTGGTTTGGTTGTTGGACGCCTTAACTAATATGGATGAATTGGTCTGAAATATGGATTGAGCAGGACGATATGAAACTTGGTCCTCTTTAAACACACTCCCCACTTTTGGTGTGATTTGAACCTTTGATCTTCTTGCATACATTTGATTATCATTATCATCTTCTTCCTTGTACCCTTTGAAAATTTTCTCGATTTGAGAAATTTCTGTTTCTTTTAAGCGTAAGATTTCAGTTTTAGGGTTATGTTTCCTTTTTGTTTTTTCGATTTGAAATTAAACTTTTTCTTTAATTTGTCGGCAGGAAATTAATAAGTTTATGCATGTGACTCTGGTTTAATTGGTGTGATTTAGTGTTGGGTACGTTTGGATTCACATGAACATGTCGTTGATCTCGACTATTGCATGGGGTCACATGTTGTACATACTTTCAAGAAAAGGCAACGTTGACAATACGGTTGATATCGTTTTTCAAGAATAAAACAAAGATAGAGCCTTCCAAGACTATGCAAGATGCTTGACATTTGGTGGTTATGAGTTTCATGTGAATTAGGGATTTACTTTTTATGGGTAAGATTGATTATTCATACAATCCTTTCAAAACAAGGTGACAATGCCACATCACCCATTATTGTAACTACTCTTTCTAATTTAGCAACTTGATTTGCAATGTCATATATATATATATATATATAGAGGGATGTTATTCTACACCATTTGTCATTCCTACACCCTATACAACCCTCATCTCAACCATTCAATTTTTAATCAATTAATTGTTTCCTAATATAAAGTATTAATCATAATTAATAAACTCTATTCACATTCCATAAATATTCAAATCATAATAAATGAACTCCAATCATTT